ACACATCCAATAGGTGTGGTGATCACTGCAGTATTGGCTAGTATACCAGAAGTAGGCCTTAGCTTAGAGCCTCTCAGCAGCCTTTTCCCAAAAAGCATGTAGCTGCTAATAAGTGTGGTTGGGCCTAACAGACTCCCAGACTGCTGTAAGCCCTGCACATAGCGGCTGGGATTCATCCTCTTATGTCCAGAGGGAAGGGGATTTGGGACTTTATTTAGTGCCATTTAGAAAAGATTACCCCTTAACTGCAGCCTTGCTCTCTGGCAAAATAAAATCATGGATAAAAAGGGCAGATCAGGCTGCCCAAAACAATGTTGGAAGCTTTGTTCTGGTTGAAGAAATAATAATGGGGGACAGATATTAAGGCCCAGAAAGAAAAAAATATATATTGAAATCAGGAGTTCTGAAAGTTTTGGGGATGGTTGGTTTGTAAAGTCCAAACAGAGAAGTGAAAAACAGAATTGAAAAGACAGTGAGTCTTTTCAATTGACTTCACAATTCCACAGAAGAACATTGGCTTTATTTATACCACTTCAAACAAATACCAGATACTTTTGTGTCCTTGTATTTTCCACTGACATCTAATCACCATCCAAAGCATTTAACATCAGAGATAGAGTTCAGACTCAGAGATTTTTGTTAGGGAACACTGGGATTCTTATCCTTTAAAGGTTTCCCATTTCAAAAGGGACTAAAGAAGACAACCCTTTTAAATGTAGCCACAATGGAATGACTTTCAATATTCTTTTTGTTATACACAGTCCTCTCATTTCACCAAGCCATTTCTACATCTGTGACACTACTTAACCTCAATAGGCTACAGGCAGAGTCACAAAGGCTCTAGGCCTGCCTTTGGTTCATGACTTTTCGTGTTTCTCTGGTTGACCTCAACACTGCATTGTACAGCTGCCGCCTTACTGATTGGACACCAGAACTGGAAGGGAGTTTAGAAGAAAAGACAGACAGGCTGTGTGGGTCTCAGACATACAATGCTGAAGGCTTTTGTTTAAAAATGGAGACAGTAGGCTGAATAGAACCAGGAGCAGAGAACAAGTAAATAAGAAACGAAAACTGTGGCACACATAATAGCCGTTCTGTCTTCGGGGAGAAGATGACGTCTTCGTGGTCACAGTGTTCATCTCATGAGATTCACAGTTAACAAAAAAATCCCCCTAAGTCACAGCTGCATGTATGTCCTTCTGAACTGCATTAGAGCACAGACATGTGGTTGGACATGTGTGGAGGCAAAAATAAGGTGAAATGACTAAAAACTGAGAGGCCACCACCGAATGCTGCTCTTAGACCTTTGGTTCAGTAGACAATGTTTCCACTACTGAGCAACATCTCAGTCAGCTGCCAAAATATCTTAATTTGGTATTTTAAGTACTTCAAATTGATATTCAATGTATTCATATCCTTTAAACATTGTTTTTTAAAATAAAATGCTGTGTTCCCATGCATCCAGTCTAACTGATTTTGTACTACAGTAGTACCTTTAGCTACAGAAAGGGAAAGTGATTTCTTTCACTTCTGTCTATGTAAAAAGAGATCAAGCTCTGTCAGTTTTCCCAACATATTATTTTACATGTAGGCCAAGGTGAATTTTGCTTTCATCTGACTTAAATCTCTCATCTTCCCTTCTTTCAACAATTTCATCCTTAATGCCTATTTTCCATAAAGTCCAGATTTATGGAGAAGATGACTAGTGGTTCTCTTATCAACAGATTCTTCCATCAGAGATGTGACTTTCTGGAGTTCCTCCCAAGTTAGCATGGGTCTCTTGGTGGCTTCCTCTGATTATTACTTTTCTTGTCCAGCCTGTAATTGGATAGACACCCATGTATTTGTAAATTTGCAATGCTGGCATGCTCTTTTCCTTTTCATAATGGTGCATGCTACAACTTCATCCACGACCCTCTAAAGTGTTTCTGGGTCTTTGTGATTTCTTTCAGTGGATTATATTTAGAGTTATCATTGGAAAGAGTGTGCTGAACACATCGGCCCACCACACTTTTCAGATTTCTATTTAAAATAAGAATTAAAATTATTCAAGGGGTGCTTATATTTCTGGAAAGAACAGCAACACCTAAGCTTTTCATTGTTCCTGCGTCCAATAAGTAGCACTGGATTAAGGTTTGTAATGAGTATAAAACAGGAGGGGGATCACTTTACTGGAGTACTGCAGTGGGTGTGCAGTACAAAGCCACAGGGGGTGACATCACATGCAGCCAAGCAACTGCAGAGCTTTAGAGGAAGCAAGAAATTAAGAAAAGAAGTGGTGGGATCGATGTATGTAAGCAGCATATTCCCAATGTCAGCAAAAACACCAATGTTATGGACTATGTTAAGTAAAAAAAAAAAAAAAAAAAAAAAACTATAAAACCATCAGAGATCATCCTGACTGAATATGTGATGCAACATGTTTGCCTCATCTGTGTTACTTGCATTCAATTTCCCCCTAAGTCTTTGCTTAATCCTTCAGCCTTTACCTACAAACACTCTCACACTGCAGCACCTGCTGAAGAAGCAGAATGGCAGCTCAAATTAAACCACTAGGACGGGTGTTACTAGGCAACAGCAATGCACAGCGTTTCTCCATCTTCCTGCCACAGGAGTTGCATGAAGAGGTGGCGGGTGTGGTACATGAGCACAAGAGCAATGTGGCCCGGAGGCTGAAAACTGGCTATTCATCAGAACTTTACCCTTGTCCTAGTGATTTCTGGTGGTTTTATCTGCAAAGAAGTAGAGTGGCATGTTGGCATTTGTAAAGCAGTACCAACTCTGACAATCCTGAATGATTTACTTTGTGCATGCCAGCAAGCGAGGGAAAAGGTTTACAGTCGCTTGATGGGATTGGGTGTTAAGCAACTCATTAAGTCTTCCAGAGAAAGGAGCAGTCACTTCCAGACATTGTTGTTGTCTGTGTAAATAGTACAGCTGAAGACAACCTTACAGACAGCAACACCTTCACATAAAACATGGAGATAAAGAAACTGGAATATTTCCAATTTGAAGCTTTGGACAGAAATCCAGCAATGATGTTGAACATTTCCATGGTGTTTTTATCTTTCACAACTTGATACTTTGCTCAGCAGTGCAGAGGAAGTGTTGGGGGGTGTTTGAAGAATATGTTTGTGGTTCTCCTGCAATAGCATCATGTCTGCCCTTCATAACTGAACTGAGGGGCAGAGCTAGGGAAATATCTCCACCCATTGCAACTGGAGCCAGTAGCAAAAGAGAGAGAGAAAAAAAATCTGTCACTTAGCAAACAACTGATTTCATTAACCACATGCAGGAGGCTGAGCTCCCATATGAGACATTATGATGACAGAGAAGAGAAGGAAAAAACTGAACTTCTGGCACAAACATCAATATTTACAGATGCAGAAGTTAGCTATGAAATGGAATAACTGGATGGACAGACAAAATAATGAACAGCTGGACAGCGATATTTTTTTTTTACAATTCGTTTCCAAACAAACTTTGTGATGTTTTATAAATATTCATTTAGTGTATTTCTAAATAAAAGAAAAAAAAATACAAGCATCAGTTATAACCATTTAGACAATTTCTCACTGGCGTCTTCTATCCAGAAATTTTTGTTGCCGTTCCTCTGCAACGTAGTGAGACCTTCTCACAAAAAAGAATCATGGGAAAATTGTGCAGCAGCTGAGGCAGCCCAAACACCACCTCCCCTCTCTTTTTTACAAACCTCTCTAGAGAGATGGCCACCGGAAGACTGAGAAAAGCAGCAGGAATATGGGGCTGTAAGACATTCCTTTAAGCCTCAAAAAAAAAAACTCAAAGAGACAAGGAACAAATTTCTGGCAAAAAAAACCCCACCATGAAGTAAGTTTTGGTTGCTGTTCTGACTGAAAAGACACAGGAGAATGAGTAAATCAGAGGAGGATATGAGCAACCATGAGCAAGCCAGTGATTCAAAATTCAAAATTCTCATAAACTGTGACACGAGATCCACATTTGAGAGCAGCACACTTCTCCCTGTCTCAATTGCAACCCAGTGACTAACTGCTGCTGCAAGAAGAAAACTGCAAGCAGCATGATCCGATAGAGGGGGAATAAGTTCAACTATTGTCCGGGAAGAAACAGACACATCCTTTATCAGGCTCTCAGGGCCGTTTTTAACCACGCCGCTCAGCATTCTTTCCATTCCCAAAGGCTTGTAACTCTTCTGTCGTCAGCTGTAGGCTGTTCACATGTGAGCGGGAAGGTTCAAAATTCAAACCTGCTCCCGCCCTTCTCAACCCAGCCAGAATTTCTTGTTTCCACGGGCTGAGTGAGCTCAGAAGACAACCTGACGAGCTTTAAAACCGACATCCTGAACCTTAAAATGTGTTGGATACAAAATGAGGACATCCAAAAATACAGGAAAATAACATTAACACCGAAGAAGTTCTGGTTTTGTATCTTAAACGCTCCACAAAACACAAAGCAATAAAATCTTAAGCGTGGGCTAGTACGATACCCTTAGTTAGTAATATTTTTGAACATGTTCAACTTTTCAAATCTTGGTATACCTTTTCACCTGTAACTGTGCCACATTCCCCAGATCACTGCATTTGACAGTGATCTCATCAGTGCACTTAGCAAATCCACTAATGATAATTAAAGAGCAAGCAGGTTGTGGAAACATACCGCCTTATCTGTGAGAAAGATCTGAAGACAAGGAGCTCCATAAATAAATAAAGGTTGCAGTGCAGTGGGGACTCCCTGGGCTTGAAGGGGAAGTTGTGGGGGGAGGTGGAAAGGGGAAGGCTGGCTCCAGTAGAAGCATCCCTACCTCCCTTTACAGTTTTGACCGTGCAGAATGATTCTGATGCATGTTCCAATGTGATATCTCTGTTTGCGCACAAGTGTATAACATGAAACTGCCACAATCAACAACAACAACAAAAATTGGGTTAAAATGCTTTTAGAATGTCTGGTTAATAAACCCGGAGTCATGTGATGATTTGAATTTGTTTTTTTTAATGTTCTACCTCTTTCAGTTGGTCCAGCTCCTGCCTGACAGCCTCGTACTCGACCTCCAGGTCGTCATACTGCTGCTTGAGTTGTTGCTTCTCCTCCAGCACCACCAGCCCGTACTCCGCCGCCTGGATCTTCTCGCTGGTCGTCTCGCTCAGCTCCCGGGAAAGACGCTCGACTTCTGCCCGCAGCCACACCGGCCCGGCCTCCAGCAGCATAGCTTCAGCGTATCCCCGCTCCTCCGAGGACATGGTCTCTTATCTTGCAACGTGCGCCAGCTGATGTGCGACGGGGAGACGTAGGGGCGGCGTAACCTTGAAGAAAGAAGCAGCGACTGCTCAAATTCGCCTGTATTTAAATTGCATGGTTAATATCTCTGCGTTTCTTGGTGCTGGTCCAGCTTCTTTGGTCATGTAGTTGCTTAATTGTCTCCGTATTTTCTTCTGCCGGCTTTTCTGTTATCTCTTAGAAACGCTCCATCGTGTTGCGCTGAGGCTTCCCCTCACCTCTCCACCGGCTTGTCGAAGTGATTCAGCCGGAGTCACTGGACCGAACTGCCAACGCAGGAGCGGGAGGACGCAACTCGTGCTTCCTGCTTTCAGAATAAGAGCGCACTCGGCTAAAGTAGGCAATCAGACAGTACTTAAGAAAGACTTCAACTATAAATACAAATTCATGTCTAAATAAACCACTATTAAAACACTAGCTTAATGAAATATATGTATACTGTTTTTATAGTTTATAATCTTGCAAAAACAGCGTAACTTATGTGTTTTATTTTGAAAACGAAATCTTTCCTTTTCTGGTACTTCAACTAGCTTGTTGTCGGTTTGCCGAAATCAGACGCAGACGCAATCAGCTGGGAAAGACTTTCTCCTGCCTTCTAGCAGAGCGTCTCGGGAATTGTAGTTCTTGCGGTGATAGAAGTAATATGACTGCAACGCAACGTGAACTCATGTCCCACAAGGCCTTGGAGACCTGCTTATGTGGAGCGCGGAAATCTTCATACAAATCCTCTTGCTGTCGCAGAAATAGAACGAGCAGATTGGCTCCTTAGAAGTGGACAGATGCATATCTGCCGCCATCTGTTGGAGAGTCCTTTTCTATTTCAAAATGAATCTAGTGGGAAATTATGGAGGCCCAATAATGATACAGTTCAATAATTGAAAAAACAAAATGCATTCACCAAAGGTTAAGACAGTTCATCAAGAAAGTAATGGTGACATTTCAAGCAAGGTTAGGTTGTAAAACAATTTCAATACTTTGAACATCTCTGGTGAGCTGCTGAATCAGTCTTCTGAAAAAAGGATGAATTGCCACAACAGACTTAAGAAAACATTACTATTGACCTAATCTCGTTGGCGAGGCAAAAGAGAGCCTTAATTAAAGAAACATCTGAGATGCTAATCTTATCCTGGAGCAGCTCCAGACATAAAATTTGTTGACACAAAATCTATTCGTCTCTATAAACTTGACCTGTATGGAAGATAGGCAAAAACAAATCCGCTACTGTAAGGAAGTCATAAGAAAGCTTGTGGAAGAACATGCTCTCGTCAAATGAGATCAAAATCAAACTTCATGGTTCACATATTTGTATAGCTTGTTATATTGAAAAAGCTATACATCACCATAAAAGTATTAAGCCCTATGATCACAAAATCATTATGAGAGAATTCTTTTGTCCAGGGAAACTGTTTTCTATGAGTTTGAGCTATTTTGCAAAGAATCTGCAGAGATATTTTTTTTGTGGATATCCAAAGCTGTTAGAGATACACCCCACGTATTGTGAAAAAAAAATTAAAAGGATGCAAAATTTTTCTTTCACCTTACAGTTCTGCCCATCTTTGTGTTGGTCAGTCAGATACTAATACTAAGATCCATTAACATTTGTTGTAATATGAAGAAGTCTTGATAAGGTACATACTCTTGAAAAGGTAAATGTAAATTATTTTTTTGTGTAAGTATGTCTGGAAAAAGGTGCTAGGGTATTCTTTAAATCTCCAAACTGACTTAAGGTTTTAACATACTAAAATTCTTGTTATTTTGTCATTAAGAAGAAACATGTTTCATATCGAAATGCAAATGTGTACAGGTCTGATTTTTTCCCTCATTGTTATAAAATGTTCAGCAGAATTTTGAACTTGGATGAGGATTATTGGCTTTGAGATCTCAAAATGCTTTACTTAGTAAACTGATCTCTTTGCAATCACCTGAAGCTAACCTGCTTTATTAAGGTGAAAGGTAAGCTAATGAGATTTGATCTGTGTGCTACATCACTAGGATGACACGATTTGTACATTGCAATTGGCAGATCAGCTTTAGTGTGCTGATATGGGAAATTTTCAGACCTTTCTATCATGTCTATTATTATTGCTATGTTCATTAAATAATATGCATTTATCTGATTAAATAATTTAAGAATCTAATGTATCGACCATTTAGCTTGGTAACAAAAGAGGATGCAAAATGTAAGCAAGCCCATTAAAAATGTAAATGTGACATTTTTCCTGAAGAGTGGGAACATTTTGCTTTAACTTGATCTAATGAGATTAGTGGTCTAATCTGGGAGGAGTCAAAAATAGGTTCAGAATGTCCTCATAGGATCAGAGAGACACACAGAACCTGTGGATAGTGCTAAGCAAAATTGACAAAATGCCTGCAGTCTCTCCACACTCTGCAGTTGATTTGATCTCTTGATCTGTCATGGCTTTTTACAGAGGAGTTCGAATCTATAGCTTCACTTGTGCTGCATCGTCTCTCGACATAGAGATAATCTGAAGGCAATGAGGCCACAAGATTGACTTCTTAGAGAGCAACGTGGGAAGGACAACGTCAAAGCTCTGAGGAATTATGTCAGAAATGGCGACAACTGGAGCACTGGATAGTTTTCCTTCTGATGTTGGAGCCACTGGCAGCTCCTCTCAAGTTCTAAAGGTAAATATTTTCTTGTATTTTTTAAAATTTTGATCTGATTTTCTGTTTGTTGTGTTAAGACTTAATATTTTTCCCAGCTATTGGTTTGAGAATTATGGCCACTTTTAGCTTAAAATGCAACACCAGTATACTTGAGAGTTAGATACTGATAAAAGAATGCTAGCAGCCTAACACTGGAGTTCAGCCAATTAGTTTTATTGTTTTACACATTTTCTGACTTATACACAGAGAATGCTGTGAAAATGATCTCTTCTTGTATTGCACAAGTGCAATTTTAACAGCATTTGTTGTATGTAAATCAGAAAGTGTGCTAAGTAATATAACAAAGTTCATTTGGATTTCCAGGCTCTGCTATGACAATCAGTCTGTGTGAATGTTCGCATGGCATTCTATGGAAGATTGGGAGGAGAATCTCTGATGGAATACAGTAAGTAAGGATAATTAAAACTTGAAAACATACCAGCCAATGACTCCTGTGATAAGAGCACAGGTAAAGATCTGTGCTCTTATCACAGCAAAATATTCCAATTAAATGAAATAGAAAATACTAGAGTAGCAGCTATGTACATTGGATATACATTGGGTTAGTATTGACCCAATGTATTGGGCAGTTGGCCAATTTACTTTTGATTGTCTCTAAACAATGATGAAAATGTCAAACATGGAAAAATGTAAAGATCAAATGCATAAAAACTGAAAAACGGTCACTTTTATGTAGCTGAATTTAAATCCATCTGAAATGACATATTTTTGCATCCTAAAGTGGCAGAGATTAGATTTGCTGTGAATTAGCTCTGCATAGCTAAACTGGATTGAACTGAGTATTTTTTTCAGTCATCTTGTTCCTTGATCCACTTTGTCTTATAATCTCTTTGTTTTCTGTTCAATTGAAAACTACTTCCTCTATCATCGAACCTGACAATGTGGATTAATTTTAGCTAAAGAAAAAAAAAAGTTTACATAAATGAGTTTATACCAGTTAAAAGGGACATATGGGGATCAGCCAAAATTAGAATCATCTCTTTAATCGTCAAACCAAAGCAGAAATCTGTGTCAGTCACTAAATGCTTGATTAGTGCATCTCTTGCTATTTTTACTGTAATGCCCTGGTGACGAACTTGCACAGCCAGAGCAAGGATTAGAGAATCCTCACCACTGATGACCTTAATTATTAAGTACCACAACTGTTATCAAAGTGGTTCTAAAATTATTTTCAAGACAAGTATTACCTCTATAAATACATATTTTTTTCTAAGCACACTGACAGAGCTTTGACTTTTTCAGTATGTTTTGTGTGATGTTTTTTAGAAGATCAAGATCAATAAAACAGAGAATTCATATATATATATATATATATATATATATATATATATATATATATATATATATATATATATATATATATATATATATATATATATATATATATATATATATATATATATATATATATATATATATAGACATTGACCATTTCTAACTTGATTTGAACATATCTGGTTTAAACTGATTTCTCTCTTTTTCTTCCACCCTGACAGTAAAAGCCCCCAAAGCAAAATACACATTCATAGGAGAAGCAATACGAGGCGTCTTTCCCCCACATATGCAATGTTCAATTGGCTGTCGAGGGAAAGACTGCAAGTATGATAACCCGAACTACTGGAGCGAGGACAAACAAGCAATAAGAGGCCTCTATTCATCCTGGTACACGTATATGTTATGACTTACTGTATCAGTAGAAAGTATTTGCTCCCTAATGGATATCTTTTGTCTTTGCTTTGTTGCTCCACTGTTTCAGATCATCAAACTAATTTTAATGTTAGACAAAGATGACCTGGGTAAATACAGATGATCAAAGCCATTGATTTATGGCTTCGAGTTTAAGAATGTTTTAAACATTTCATTGTCAGATGATGATGTAATTTACTAATGGGAAAAAAAAAGTAGACACACATCGTCCTATTTGTAGAATTTAAGAAATGAAGATGAGTGAACCAACACTCAACTACAGCAATATTACAAGCAAGTCTTATTCAAAGCACTTGATTGCAGTTGCTGACCATCAAAACCATTTATTAGTTTTATATGAACATTACTCTTTTACATGGGACCTGGTTGATTTGGATAGATTTAGCCCTTTAATGAAAGAAGTTGATCAAACTTCAGAATGGTAATCTTTGTGTTTAGTGATCTGAAATGTCATTGTGTCAGCACCATGACTTTTTTTTGTTGATTAAATAAAATATATTTGATGAACGAAGAAAAGTTTGAATTTATAGGTACCTGTGCATACAGTTGCTGACAGTTTTGTTCTTTTGCTTGTTTCAGGGTTACCGACCATCTTCTTGCTATGTCTAGACCTTCAACAGAGATCATTAAGAAGTATCACATTATTGATCAGTTCATAAGGTAGTCACGTCATTAATTTATGGCTTTGAATATAAGAATGTTTTAAATGAAGCATGGAAGAAATGAGAACAGTGGCCTGGGCTGTGGTCTGTTTTTGTTCTTGTGCTGAAGGAATGGAATCAAAACAGTGATCAACCTGCAGTTACCTGGAGAACATGCAAGCTGTGGAAATCCTCTGGAACCAGAAAGTGGATTTTCATACCGCCCTGAAGTGTTCATGGAAAACAACAGTATGTACTTTTGCAGGAATTTTGAAATATACAGTTCTGGAAAAAAATTAAGAGACCACTTAAAACGATCAGTTTCTCAGATTTTACTTTTTTATAGGTATATGAGAGTGTATATAGAAATAACAATTTTGTGTTTTTAAGGAGAAATACTGCTATAGCATTGTGTTAGTCTGTGAAATATTCCTTCTCTTTTAAGTCTAGTTGTGAGAAGAATGTTTAATGCAAAAAATAGCAACAGGAAGTTGAAAGTCTGCCTACAGTGGGCTCAAAAACAATGAAGATTCAATTATTATGAAGATCATTAATGGATTCTATGCTCTCTTCAGACCAAAATAGAAAAATGTTTTCCAGATTTAAGTTGTGGTTACAAAACATGTAGTCTCAAAACGAGGGACTTTGTTAGTCAGAATATTTTCTCTTTAAGATGTTTTCAGTCATGAATATATAATGTTAAAATGAGGAATGCAATGCATGTTGCCATTTCAGTTTATTTCTACAATTATGGCTGGCAAGATTATGGAGTGACCAACCTTACCGCCATTCTGGACATGGTCAAGGTCATGGCCTTTGCAGTGCAGGAAGGAAAGGTAGCAGTCCACTGCCATGCTGGACTTGGCAGAACAGGTAGGTTTGTTGAACAGAATTTATTTCATATTGTGATTTTTCACATGCAGATTAGTACAGTGTGCTAAAGTTTTCCTGATCTCACTCCAGGGGTTCTCTTGGCATGTTTCTTGGCCTACGCAACCAGGATGACTGCAAACCAGGCTATTTTGTACGTTCGTGCCAAACGGCCCAATTCCATCCAAACCCGGAGTCAGCTGCAATGCGTCAGAGAGTTTGTCCAGTTTCTTGCCCCTTTAAGAATTGTTTTCTCCCATGCCAAGCCTCACTCCCAACCTGTGACCCTGTCCCAGTACCTTAACCGTCAGAGACGCATTCTGCATGGCATTGAGAGAAAGCAACTGAAGCACTTACCCAAGATTATACATCTAGTGTGTGGGCTCTTGGTGGACATTGCAGAAAACCGGCAGGTGATTGAGGAAGACATTCTTGAAGCCCCTGATATTCAGGAAATTGAAATGACTCTCAGTCTCATTGAAAAGATGGGGTCTGAATTATCTGCAAAGGAACCCCGCTTGCCCGGTTCACCCACCTTACCCAGGCATTTCCACGAGCCTCCCATCTTTTACCACCGCAAAAGTCTGAGCTATAGTGAGTCTGACTTGAGACGATTGGGCTCACAGTTAAACCTTCTCACACAACCCCTGACCTCTGTGTCCAAATCAGAGACAACTCTCCCCTCATGCCACAAGCAAGGCCAGAACATCAACACGTCTGATGTTTCCCACAGTTCGACAGGATCACTCTGGCAAATTAAGAATGAGGAAAGCCAGAAGGATGGAACGATTGTGGTGAAGAAACTGACAAGGAAAACTATGCATCGTAGCGAATCGGTGGGAAATGAGAAGCCAACTAAAAAGGGCAGCATGTTGTCCAGGTGGAAGGCAGAACAGAGAGAGGAGCTAGTAATGAATGGGGTAAAGTCTAAAGATAATGATGAGCAATCAGCACTTCCCTTCATCACACTGCAGTCTGAGCTGTCTCTGGAGGCCAGGAGGCTGCTGGTGGCCCAGGCACTGGCAGTGGACCTTTTTCTTGAAGGAGACGAGGAGCATAAGTCTAAAGTATTGGCCTGGCAGGTAACTGACTTACCATGCTGAAGTTTGTTAGATATACAATACTATAACAGAAAACACATTTGTAATTGTAAACCTATTCCTATTCCTTTGACTTTTCTACATTTTGTTAAATGTATGCATTTAACAAAATGCTACTGCAGTCTCCAGTGTTTTACAGCTTCTACAGGTTTTCTCTGAGGATTGTCATGTCCTCAGAGAACTATGCAGAGCTTTCATCAGCTCTGCATAGTTTCTCTGTACCTGATGCAATCACCATTTTCTTTTGAAAATTATGCATTCTTTTCCTCCACTTCACAATTAACACAATGTGGAGAAACTTAGAATGATTCTCCACAAAGATGCCCACTAACCCGGGCATCTTTGGTGTAAAATTCATTACACCAAAGATGCATTCAAACCTGCAATGTTGCAGGAGCTAATGTTAGTGTTGAAATGTGTGCAGGAGGACATGAATCAAGGTAGCGCATGGGAGAGACTTTGCACGGAGCGGGATCCGTTCATCCTGACTGGATTAATGTGGTCGTGGCTGGAGCAGCTTAAAGAGCCAATCATCTCTATCAAAGATGCCAAAGCCCTGACTCCACGCAACACAGATGCTAAAACTGCCCTCAACAAACTGGAACAGGTAAGAGGCTATTCTGAACTTCTGACCTACAGACATAACAGGAAAAAAAAAATATTTTAAGTTAAACCTTTGTGCCATTTCTTGTCAGGCGCCCAAGGAAACAGTTACATGCATACTGAACTGCATGGCTCATATGATGACTATATCAGAGGAGGTTGAAACAGCTTTTCTGAATAGAGCGATCAAGGCATTCACCTGGGTAAGAAAGCATGACTCCTGACAATCTGGGACCACAAGGGTATTGTTTCACCAAGTGTTGTTTATCTTCATGTTGAATGTTGATTTTAACAGATCAACATTAATTCAACGGAAGAGGGCAAGCTGTACAAGAATATGGCGGCAGTCCTGAGATGTGTTCTTCTGGATCTAAGATCTACGGCTGTGGAGGAGGAGGAAAGAGCCAAACCTGCGCTCCCTCCAGCATGACTCAGCTTATGGTCTTACTGTAAATGAAATACATACTTATGTGCCTTGTGACAATTTTTTTTGTTTTTATAAGTCAAACGCCATATTGTAAAAAAACAAAACAAACTTTACCTTAGTAGAGTTTAGGTGACACTTCAAAGAACAAATCAGATAGTTTTAAAACATTCTGCCTTAAGCTTGATCACTCATCTCTCCTTACTTTACCCCACAGTCAACGAACACTCAATTAACTATTTTATAGTCATTTCTTATTTCTTAACCAAATTGCAGGTTGCTACATTCCTGTTAATTGTCAACACCCACCCCCCTAAGAGCATAAGAGTCCATAATAAAATCAAATGTCAGAAGGTTTTGCAAACTGCATTGTTGGTCTTTGTGCAGGGCCGCAACGCTCAGGATGTGAAAGAGTAAGCTTTAAGAACGTCCTTCCCATTATTTCCTTCTACTGAAGCCACAATGCTGACGTAGTCACAAGCAACGTGAGTGAACCCTCTGCAACAGAGAAATATGCAGTAATCAATAATACCGAATAAATGTGCTCTTCCAGAGGTCAACAGTAATTACTGGAGCGTGTCCCAATCTAATAATCATATACAGAATATTTTATCAGATGTATTACCTACTGACACTGATCACATGTCTATCATGATATAGATTCTCATTGATTTATTATTGCAAGAATGGTGCAAAATAAATAAATAAAATAAAATAATGGCCTATAATAATGGGAATGGCCTAGTTAAAGTTGGGATGTAATCCAACTGAAATAATGTGGCATGAGCTTAAACATGCAGTTGGTCCTTAAAAGCTGTTCAATATGACTGAATTTAAAATATTATGCAAAGAAATATATTTTAAAAGCTAAAGTTCTTTCACAGCGATGTATAAACACTACGCACAAATAGGTACATATTCTAACTAGCCTGATTTTAATTTGTAAAGCTCAAAAAATGTTTTAATATGTGATACACATTACTAAAAAAAAAAAAAAAAACTTGGGAAAACAATGTCTAAATACCAATTTAAACCATGTAATACTGGTATCATCACTTTTAGTGAGTTTTCAAGGCACATGGCGCTAATTGTGTTTATCATTAATGGTGTAAAATTTAGCATGATCAGGTCTGGCTGGGACATCCTTGGTAATGACTTCTCGGTAGATGAAGGCGGTATGTTAGGTCTGAGACACTAACCTGGACATTGTGTGAGAGCCTCCCAGTAACTGGTACTGACTCTCCAGAGTGAGCCCACCATCTTTGCCGTTCTTCCACGTCAACACTCGTAAGGAGAGATCTTGAGACGCCGTGACGACACGAAAACTGTCCTACAAAACAAAATTCAAAACTCAATGCTAAGCTTCCAACCAATTCTGGAACTGGTCTACTGAACTTCAAATAAAAACAGCCTACCACACATATTGAGGTGATGGGCATGATGTGATCTTTAAAATTAGCAAGCACGACTCCTTTCAGCGAGTACACCCACAGCTGGTCCCCGGCTGCCAGGACTATGCAGTTGCTGTTCTTGGCCTCCAGAAGGATTTGTGATGAGTAGTGGTTCAACATCAAGGGGAAGGACTCCATCTGCTGGACTGAAGTTGGAAAGAGATTAGAATTTATTACAGTAATTTAAGGGTTTAATATGATGTCTACCCACCCCTGGCAACTGGAACGTGTTTCGGAAAAGCTTGCCACAAGCTATGGTGGTGAGCATGTAGGAATTTTCACCATTTATCCTTGAAAGCACTTATGAGGTCAGACATTGTTGGAGGAGAAGATCTGGCTTGTTGTTTCCATTCTAATTCATTACAGTGTTCTTTTCGGTTGAGATAAGGACTTTGTGTAGGTCAGTCAAGTTCGTCCATTCCAAACTCACTCATCTATGGAAACTACTTTTTGCACTAGTGTGCTGTCATTTTAGCCATTATTATGCCTTGTTGTTGTACAAAACAACAAGGCATAATAATGCTAATAATGCAAATACAAAAACCATGTGGTTGAGGTGTAAGCTGCTAAGTGAGATTCTTTCAACTATTACTTGGGATTTGTGTGTATGTACCTGTATGTATAATTATCATACTGTGTGGATTAGAGGAAACAACTCAAATTTGTTTTTAGAAATTATTGTTAACTGTTCGCTGTTCAGTCATTTCACCCTGAAAAAAAAAAGAAATTTCAAGCCAATGATGAGCATTAAGTAAACTCATCACTAGCACTGGAAATTGTTGTTATTAAATCCAATGAACCAGTAATAAAAATGTTCTGCATGCCATGAGAATAAGCTAAATAAAATACTGGTGCCAGGAAGATTTCCAAACTGTTCCTGCGGTGATGCAGAAATTTTTCCTGGATGACTCACTAACAGACTTTTTGTTTCCCAATGATCTGAGTTCAGAACTAAAGCATTTTCCAAGTCATTGTACTAAACATCAGGGCTCACCCTGGATCTCCGTCTTGTACTTCATCTTTTTAATGCTGACATCGAAGACAGTGAGGGCTTTGTTGCCTCTGAGCTCAGTGCGGTGGATGATGGCCAGTCTGGCAGGCTGGGTGGGTATGAAGACAGCAGCTTGGCACCCGGGGACTGGCACAGTCTGGCACAGAAAATCTTCATCTTCAGACGGTGAGGTCAGACTCTCACCGTTAATCACCTGGCAAAAAATAAGCAAAGCAACACAGGTGTACAAGGAATATGTCTATACTTTACATTCTTATCAATTTTCCTTTTGGTGGTATTTGCACAGAGGTAATGCAGAAACAATCTGGAGCAGGCAGCACAGACAATTATGTAGTCAAAGACAACCTCAAATACCTTTAGACTTAAATCATCATTTTCCTTGGTTCCAGCTACAATCCACTTCTTGTCAGGTGAAACAAGGAGTATGTTAACTTTGAAAGAGTCACACACCATTAGACTTGACTTTTTCGTCAAAGTCAAATCAGCCAGAGTGCAAATTGATCCCTGGCCAGTTCCAACCTGGAAGAGAAGATAATGTAAGGAAAAAAAAAAAAAAAAAACTACATGATCATCAAGGAGATTGTGGGGGTACTTACAGTCAGGAACCAATTATTGTGGATGTTGTACTGCAGTAGTGTACAGTGTGAAGACGCAGTAGAAAAAGAGGCCAGCTCCTGACCAGTCTGACCCTGCCAGGTCTTAATGAGGCCTGTAGAGTCTGATGTGATAATAACTTCCTCCTTCTCGTCTGCTACAATCCCTGTCAAAGGACTCTGCACAGGACTACACCACAGGCTCTCACCCTGAGAAACAAAACAAGCATTAAAATCATGGCTCAAAAAGCCCAACAAAGGTCACTGTTTAAAATATGCTGCAAGAAATAAGTGGACAAAATTTAGCGGATTTACAATGGCTAATTCAAAGTATGATTGCAGAAGGAAAATCAAACACTGTAATTTAAAAGTGAGCATTAACAGGATCTCCCCTATTGCTGAAGCTATAGAAGGGATTTTATGTTATTATTTTTTTATGTATCTAATACAGTCAGGGCATTTTCTGGCTAAAACTTGTCCTGGAAGCAGGAACAACTGGGAAGAGTGAAAATTTGAACAAAATTGTGATGGCCCGACAACTGCCTGAGAGCATCTACAAAACTGCCTTGGGAGCATTTGTTCCACATATTCCGATCAATCAGATAAGCTACTGTAGCTAAAACTGCGCAAGACATTAATTCTGGCTCAAACAATGTAAAGCAGTTTACAGTGTGTAGGGCAGGATACTTCAGGACAGTCATAATGCTATGTCAGACTGGTGTATGTCTACTATGTGTGAGTGATGTTACTGAAGGAGAAGCACTGACATTTTGGATGTCCCATGCTCGAACTGTCCCATCAGTGGACGCACTGCAAACAATGGCACTGGTCTTGGACAGGTCTGGCAGCAGGTGTGAATTGCCCTGCAGGTACAACAGGCCGACCACCCTGCCTGAAGAACAAGATGTTTGACACACAGGTTAGACAAGCGGCATAGTGAAGTCATGCTAAGAATATTTCTAATGAATAAAATAATGCATACCTGTATGGCCTCTCAAGCTTTTGCATGTGTAATTTCCTGACCGACCTTCTGTCATGTTCTTCTCCAGGTGGGAACGCTGCTGGAAGTATTTTTTCCATGAAAGAGTGACCTGGTCACCACCCAAGGCGGCAAGGTTACAGAAACTCCAGCGCTGCAGGCACATCCTCCTGAGGCGAACATTGATGTTTGGATACGTTTATTATTTTTCAACAACTTTCAACAACTTCCTGCAAATTGTGGATTAAAAGGGAAGTAGCACTGTGACGTTTACAGTATGTAGATGAAAATATGAATCAGATCACCAGACATCAGCATGGTATCGAATCAAAACGACAATAATACCGTTCTGGATTTGTAAACCTTTAGACCAAATGTGAATAGAGATTAAATGTGGGCAATCTATTGCTGTTTTCTTAGTGAGTGACGTTCCACAACTTGACACAGGGAGAAAATATTTGCCATTACAGCAATCAACCCTTCTTATATTTAATCATCGGGATCTTGCATTTTTCGACTGATATTTGGACATTTTCTCTATGGCAACTAGCTCCAAGTCTTTTAGCTTTGAAGGTTTCCCCCAACTTTTTACCTTCAGATTGAATCAGATATCGGAGTCAAATCACAATTTGTCCTGGGCAAGTATTAATATTACTTCAAAACAAAAGAAACAGATGATAGATTTTTTTTTTCATGAAAAACCAAATACAACCAAATACAATAAAAATATGACAAATAATAACTCACCTCCATAACCAAGGAGTCTCTGCAACTTCATGCCAATCCTGACAAATACAGTGACAAACCAAACTAAACTTAAGCTGTTGAAGCGATGTGATTGTTTTCTGCCACTTCCGCAAGCGAGAAGTCTCACCTTGCACACTGTAGAAACGCTGATTAAATCATCCCCACTCAGAAACGTGAAAATGTGAATGAGACAGTCACCGATAAGCTGTGGATGATGGAAATCCATTCCAACGTCAGTTTTCTCAACCTGGAGAGATTTCAGAGAGATCAGGAGTCCG